GTCATAATTTGCACCAAGGCCTTGTCAGCCCGTTACATATGCATCGCTATTTGCTTGGACAACATGATTGCAAAAGGGTGTGTTTCACAGGAAACATTGTTCTCGGTACTGTGTGTTTGTGTTGTCACAGCCTGATTCTGATCCAGTACGAACTTTCTGTCCGGTGTTTCTGATCAAGAAAGATTCTGCTGATCTGAAATAAGTAACGTGCGCTCGGTCGGTCTAACATTGGTGCACATGGATGGCTATCTTTGGAAGATTAATTATTTTATTAGTTGCAAATTAGCATCGCACGTACTGTTCCAGATCTCCATGCCTAATACTCCCTCAAAAAACGTCTTACATTATGGGAGGGAGGGAGTACTATCATGTCCGCCCAATTTGCTTGGCTTGCATACGTTAGGTTATACATCAGTGGCTTTAGCTAAATCAGTGACGTTGATTAGTGGTACAAGATATTGGGACAAGGTGCGGCCACATCATCGTATCATGGGCTTGCTTCCATTCCAGCTCGATCGGCTATATAAATCTGCTGATTTATCTAAAATAATAATATAAATCCGCTGATCTGTGGGGTTAAGCGTATCTTTTTGGTGCGACTAGGTCGTATAAATAATCGCTATCCCATGAAATGTTTTTGTATTCACTTTTGGTGGCCTTTGGAGGAAATGGCATATTAGTGAGCCTTTTTGTTTTGATTTTGAGTGACCATCTAGAAAGTGTATTGTTATTGACCGGTTGTTTGTCTTTTGTGGAGAAGGGTTTGAATCTATTAAAAAAATTCATCATAAGTGCAAAGCAACCTCAACATAATAAAATTACATCGAGGTCCCTGAATTACTGAACGGTCGCTCCCCTACCGAAGCCGGCGGAGTGGATGGTGACAACTTTTCATGCCTTTGTCCTCTAGCTCCTTCTCCGACAAGCGACAACCAGCCAACTTTGGCGTCGTTTGGGAGACTGTGAGGGTAGGTCTCCCCGAATCTGTCTAGTTGGATTTGGAGTGGTTGTCCAACCTTCTTCTCTGGGACGGCGAACTGTTTCTCAGATCATTGTCATCGGCGTCTTCTGGCTTTGACAGTTGACTTCTCGGCCGCTATGTCGACAACGCTTCCCTTACTCCTATCATGTTTCAGAGATCCAGAAATTGCATCGAACTTCACTCACGAGGCACCGCTGGCGAGTGCGGAGGAAGGCATCGTCGATTCCCCCAAGGACATCTGTGTAACTTTTGATTTCTATAATGATGCTCTTGTAAGGGTTGATCGACCATAATATATGACCTTTAAAAAATCTCATGATGGCGGTAACTTGGCTAAATTTGCCGAATTAGGATAAAAAAACACCGAGAAAAAATAGTAAGCGCTTGTTTTACTCAAAGGTTAAGCATACATGGGTCGTTTTCCTGTCGCCGCGACATTTTTCGTCAAGCTCAGCCACTTGTTAAACAATAGGGTCCGATGACCCGAAAGTACCATTACTAACTCCAGCCCATGGTGTGAATAGCAAAATCAGCAGCTCCCACGAGCCCAAGCCCATTACTAACTCCAGCCCATGTCATGGCTTGGCCCGCTGGCTTCTCTGTGGCCAAGGTCCGTTCCGATCTGGCTGAGCCGAAACCATTCCCCACCCGCACCCAAACCCAACCAACGGCCACCATGGCAGCACCGCCGCCGCCGCCGCCGGCGCTCCCGGACGACGTCGTCGTCGAAGAGATCCTCCTCCGCCTCCCGCCCGACGACCCAGGTTGTCTCTTCCGCGCCTCCCTCGTCTGCAAGGCCTGGAGGAACGCCGTCTCCCATCCCCGCTTCCGCCGCCGCTACATCGGGCTCCACCGCCACCGGGCACCCCCCGTGCTCGGCTTCCTCCACGACTGGGAAGACGGGGGCATCCCAGACTTCTTCCCCACCACCGCCTCGCCCTTCTCCCTCGCCGCTCCAGACCGCCGGTTCTGGCGCCCCGTCGACTGCCGCCATGGCCGCGCCCTCTTCCTCTCCGACCGCCGCCAGGAAACTCAGGAACTCCTCTTGTGGGAGCCAATCACGGGCGCCCGTCGGGGCATACCGGTGCCCGCGGCGTTCAGGTGCCAGTGGCCGGCCGCGGCAGTGTTCTGCACAGCGGACTGGTGCGACCACCGCGACTGTGCAGGAGGTCCCTTCGGCGTGGTCTTCCTCTTCGCCGGCGAACAAGACCGGCACGTTGTCACATCGGCGTGCTTGTACTCGTCGGAGACTGGCACATGGGGCAAGCTGAACTCGAGGCAAGATGAGTTCACCATGGAATTTCAGAACCATTCCAGCGTGCTGGTTGGGAGGTCTCTGCTCTACTTCCTGTCCGACGGTGGGACGATCCTGGAGTACAATTTGGACAGTGGTGTACTGGCTGTGTTGGATAGACCACCTGACGATTACGGCAGGGGCCGCCAAAGATTTAACCTCATGCTGGCGGAGGATGGTGGACTGGGGGTTGCCGAAGCCATTGATTTTCAGCTCATATTGTGGAAAAGGGAGGCGAGTGATGGCACTGATGCACGATGGGTGCTGAGCCGGATCGTCGACATGGACAGTTTCTTCGACCCAGTCACACTTGCTCCAGTGTTGGGCTTTGCGGAGGGAGCAAATGCTATTTTTGTTAAAACTATTTATAGCCTCTTCATGGTTGAGCTACAGTCGGAGCAGGCGAAAATTGTGTGTTCTAGTCCTGGTTTCTGTAATTTGATTCCAGTTGTCGGCTTCTACACTCCACATTCTAGGCTCCAAGTGCCCGGTGGTGAACACCACAGCCCAGCGCCATGGCTGAAACAACTGGGAAGGGGTGGTCAGCAAGGGGTCTGGGAGGAGAAATCACTAGAATGGGCGCAGGTGCTGTTTGATGAGGGGTGCATGGCTATCAATGAGAAGGACTTGGCCTACACGGCTGACTGCTTCAGACATGTTCTCGAGATCAGGTTTGGGTTCTACTCCCAAACTCCACTTGTTCTCCTAGCTAGACATGCTGCTGTAGCGTAACATATGGATAGTTTGTGGGAAAGAAGATTTGCAGTTAGTTCATTGTTCTTTTCATGTGTGTCTCAGATCCTTTTGAGTTCTGACATTTGTAGCTACCTTAGTAGGATTTAACATGCTGTATGTTAATGTGGTTACCAAGGGTGGTGTTTTGGTTTCATGTATTTGACAGTGAGCACAATGGTGTGGGTGTTGGTCTTTGAGGGGTTAGTGAGTCTAGCTAGCCAGTATGACCTGACAACACCACCTGGGATAGGTATTATCATATTTTGTTGTGACGTCTGTAATGCGATGAGAATTAAATCAAAGTCCAATTGCTTGAGGGATAGGTATTATCCTATTTGATCACTGTGCAGTTCATTTATATGGCTCCTCTTCTGTGCAAGCACTAGTAACTATAAAAGGCAGTCAACAGAACATAGTTACACATTGTGTCATAAAATGGTTTTGTCCACTTCAGAGTACATGTTTATGCTATAATGTTAACGATGATGCATCGGTAAATTAATGCGTTGTTGTTGTTGTCACGTAGGGTTCGACATTATGGAGGCCTTGCTCCTGAGTGTGCTAACACGTTTTACCATTATGGAGGTGCCTTGTTATGCAAAGCTCGGGAGGCAGCCAATCGTTCAGGTAATGTTTCAAAGCGTGCACCAAATGAAGAAGGTATGCTTTATCATTTATATCACTTTCACCACTATAGGTTGAAATATATCACTGTATTTTGCATTGTTCTTCAGGTTTATGGAATGGTCTCTTAGAGAAAACTGCAGGATTAGTTGACCCCACAACTTTAACATGGCACTGCTACTGCCCTAGACACTCATATACACTGAAAGGCATTATTATCCTTTTTAAATCTATATACTGTAGTATCTACTCCCTCCGTCTGGAAATACTTGTCATCAAAATAGATGAAAATGGATGTATCTACAACTAAAATACATCTAGATACATCCATTTCAATGACAAGTATTTCCGGACGGAGGGAGTAGTTGATAGCACTACTGGTTGCAATAAGTTCTCATTGTCTGTTCATGCCTAATGAAGAGTATACCTAATAAACTTCTTATCAGTAATTTGCCCATGCCAATGCAAAGTACTAATAGTTTGGGACTTGGAATGTTTTCATTAATATTATATGATCACAGTATACTAAGTGAGTTGGATCTTGTACGCATTTGTGTGCATCTATTGCTGTTTATTTCCTCTTGGGCTGTGTGCATCCTCGATTCAGAGGCCCGGAATAATAAAACTCTTCCATTTTCTAAAGGAAAAAATGTTTTTCTTCTTTCAATGGTACGTGCTAATATAGTTGTTGTTGGTTAGGGACAAACTTGCGTGGCAAAGGTCAGACGGATGGGAACATGACAGGCGATGGAGATGATTCTGTTTTGGATTTGGCCTGGAAAATGTTGAATACTGCAAGGGTGATAGTTGCCAAGAGTCCAGAGAAGACAATGGAGAAGGTTAATATATTGAATGCTCTAGCTGAAATCTCCATGACAAGAGGTAATCTCAGCTATCTCAGTTACCATGTGTTAGGCTGGTGAATGGTCAATCAAGGCCTCACATTTGATTTTCACTTTTGTAGAGGACAGAGACAAATCAATCGGTTACTACTTCGAAGCTTTAGCGATCTTGGAACATTTGGTTGGGCCTGACCATTTTCGAATTGTCGATCTGTATCCTCTTTGTGGTGATAAGAGTGTCAGCCACTCTGCTGTATAGTAGTAGAACAAATCAGCATAATAGTGTGGTTTCAAATAATTTGAGTTGACCCAAATCTTGCACAGGTGCCTTCACCTGCTTTTGAATCCACATGTTAGTGTAGATTTGGAGTAGGACTGTGATCACCAGAAAAAAATGTTAGGTAGATAGTGCTGTTTTGTTATGATTAGGTCTTTGAGTTCAATTCTTCCTTTGTTGATTACCTTAATTCAGTTCTAGAAACCTCCGCATAGGTTTGGCATCCAAGGTTGGAGATGCAATCAGATATAGTACAAAGGCTATTTCATTATGCATGTCGCATATACATAATCTGGAAATTGCCAAGGAAGCTTTGTTGGCTGATATACATAATCTGAAAATTGCCAAGGAAGCTTTGTTGGCTGATATACATAATCTGAAAATTGCCAAGGAAGCTTTGTTGGCTGATAAAGACCTTAGAGCATCTGCTGCTAAAGGACACTCAGGAAAGTCGACTCTGGAAGATGATATATCTTACCTTGCTAGAATGTCGTCTCGAGTCCAGAAGAAGGTGAACAAACTTAATTTTATTCATGCTACCAGTTTGGTTCTGCTCATGAATCTAGTGCTCTATGAACGAAGACGACGTTTTGTAAGGAATAATAACATCTCTCTTAATTGTTTTGGTTCAGCTTGAAGAACTGAAGCAAGCAATGCCAACCCCAAGCGACGGCATGGATAATATTATGAAGAGGGTGGTCTCACAGGCAAGTCATGAGCAGAATGTTAAGAATACTATGGCAAGAACTGCATCTTTGACTTGTTCACAGATGACACGATCAAACAACAGTTTCCATTCCCCAACTATGTCAACGGCAGCACCAAGAGGAAGCACTGGAAGTAGCGTAACCAACTTTGAGATTGTTGGCAGAGACATGAAACGAGCTAAAGATGAGTCGATCTCCTACGAACCTTCTCCAAAGAGACTTGCGAAACCATTTTGGACGTTACTGTAGTAGTACTTCTTAAGCAAAACTCATACTCCCTCCGTCCCAAAATTCTTGTCTTAGATTTGTCTAAATACGGATGTATCAAGTCAAGTTTTAGTATTAGATACATCTATATCTAGACAAATCTTAAGACAAGAATTTTGGGACTGAGGGAGTATTAATTTATTATATTTTGCCTGCCTTGATTGATCAGCTAGTAGTACTTCTTAGATACTTCTTAGATATAGTTTTTGCAAGTCAGTGATCATTTAAGAAACATTTATTGTCTAGGTGTTGCATCAGTTGCAATGAAACATTTGAATTTTCTACTGTTTGAAGAATGTTCTATTCTTGCTAATTCTGAGAGGCAGGCTAGTAGTGATGATTAATATTTTTTTTTCTTTGCGAATGGAAGTTAAACAATTAGTTATCAGAAAACTAGAATGTTGCAAATACTAGATGCATTTGCAGATTACACATTACATTGTTGCAAGCGAGCTCAGATCTCTAACATTAACTGGCAGACTGAGCAAACAAATGTACTAGAGGCCGGAGAAGATGGCGGCCAAGGATGTAGGTGAGGGCCACAGCATCCTACTGCACATCCGGATCATCTCTCAGGTGAGAAGTCTGGACAAGGCAAGCCGTAGATGGGCTCGTCGGCGACCGGCTCCTCAGGCTCTGGGTCTGGCTGCGTTCCCTCCTCCATCCGGTGGTGTTTGTCGTTCCCCTCCGCGGTGATGCTCTGCGCGAACCCGGTGGCTTCCTCCGGCACAACCACTTGATATAAGCCTCTTTTGGAGAAGCTTCAGCATTCAGCGGAGGCCTGACATTACCCCATCTGAAGCCTTTTCCTACAACCCCAAGATTATTTACACTACTTCTAGGCTTCTGTTGTTGCCATTTGAGTTGCCCCCTAACCAACGACTATGTCAGTGTTCTTGTTAAATGAATCGGTCTATTTTCATGATCATGCTATAATGATTATTTTTCCGTAATTTATGTATGACAGGGTTGCTGCTCTTGTGTAGTTAAAGCTAGCTTGTGCAAGTACATTATTTAGATAGATCCATATATGATCAAACTGGCACTGCTATTCCAGATGTATTGATAAGAAAGATTAAAATATGTGTACATAAATTTAGAAGGCAAATAGCTGACATGTGGCAGCGAACACAAATTCAGATATGGTCAACCCACAGCACAGTTTTTTTTTTTTTTTGAGAAATGAAAGCATTGTCTGCTTTCATCAACATCATCTACTATCTATATTAGGAAGATTAAATAAGAAACATTAGGAAGACAACATTGGTTAAATGGTCTTCCATGGAATGATGATGAGAATTCAAGTAATAAGTCCAAACAGCAAACAGTTCCTTCCAACACCCAAACAAGGCCATTACTAGTTTGCATATGCAGGATTGAACAGGTTTGGCTCAACCGGCCTGTTTGAAGAGATTAATTAGGCTCTATTTGGATTATTTTTTTATTTCTGACAGTTCTTTTTGGATATTTTTTTTTACATTCACAAATCTGGCCGACTCTGGTATGAGAACGTTGGTCTTAGGGTCACGTGCACGAAGAGGTCCCTACTGTCATTGACAAGGTCTGGCCGACTCTAGTATGAGAACGGTAACAGTGACGCATGAGCGGCTCGTTATGACGACGGTACTCGTCGTTCGGTGGTCCAAAGACCTTGACATGATTTTTTTATTATGTTTAGGGTGTTTTGTACTTTTTGATGGATGTTTATTATAGATATGGGTATTTCACAAAAAAATACATATTCATTTTTGGAAAAGTAACAATATTTCGAGGGGGGCTAGTATTGGGCATTGTGCATCTCTATGGGTGTTCTCACAAGAGAAATCACTCATGTTAGGGCATCTTCAAAGGAGACCTGCAAAGCTCCGATGTATGTTGTCCGGATCACTTTTATTAATTTTTGGCATCGAACATGGACCCCTATTTGCGCTCCGAACGTTGTTTTTTTGGTAAATCGGAGTCAAAGTGAGGGGGAGCTATACGGGAGTCCGGACATGCACAATATCCTACCACATGCAGGGTCTCCCTCTTCTCTCTCTTCTCCCAACTGGACACCACCACACGATATCCCACCACATGCATGGTCCCCCTCTTCTCTCTCTCCTCCTTACCGGACACGACCGCACAATACTCCACCACATGCATGGTCCCCACATACTTTCTCTCATTCCAACCGGATTAATTTGTGAATAACATTGCATGGCGCACCTCCCGCATCATGTTTACGGACCACGTCTGGACATAAAAACACACATTTGTCGTGTCCATTTGCGGGTCAGCATTGGACATGCCCTTATGCCATACGGAAGCAAACAAGAGACATTAAGCATGAAAAAACATGAAGTATGTAGGGAAAAAACAAAATAATTTGCTTTGGTACTTGGAAAATGAAAGAAACTTTGGGGTGAAATGTTCTGGTATGCGTGGAAAAACACGAAGCATATAAGAAAAAAAATAGTTGTGCTCAGCAAAAAAATCTTCTTTGGTACTTGGAAACACAAGAAACATTTGGGCTGAAATGTTTATACCGGTGGAAAATGCAAAATCACTTCGATTTGCTTTCATTGAGAGCTCAACCGGGCAGAAAATTTGTTATGGTCATCCAAAAAGAGCAAAAAAGAAATAAATTTGCTTTCATTGAGAGTTGAACTCAAGACCTCCCGCTTACTAAACGGGTGCTCTAACCAACTGAGCTATGAAAGCTTCGTGACACTATTATGAATTCACCGTTTTTGTTTTGTTCTGCCCTTTGGTGCTCTTCTAGTCCTTCGTTAGGTAGTGCTCGATGATGGGAAAGTTTGAGTGCACGCTTAACATCTTATATTTTGGAACGAGCAACAAAAACGAAGTGCGTATCCTAGCTTTTTCAATTGTTTATGTAGGAGGTACGAGTGGCAGACAGGTCTTAGAATATCCAAAAGAAGGCTCTTAATTCATAATTATTAGTATTTGCTCACAGTAATTTAGTACTGAAATTCATCTGATAGAACTCTAGCACTAACACGGCAAGAATTTGTGCTTAACTGGACCATCTGAGACAGTACGGAGATCAAACAATACTTCTACCTTCAAAAAGAAAAAGAAAAAAAGCATCCACAAGGGATCAGCAATTGTCACAAACACAAGTGTAAGGCAGTAACCGTTCTCACGGAGATCAACATGATCATATATCTCACACACTGGACAGCGAAAACACGTAATGCATGCACAAATACACAAACTGTTCTTCACTCTATATAGCACATTTGCCGTAAAACCTCGGTATAGTGACAGCTATCCGAGTTCAATCATGCCTAGCCTAGTCCACCAAGCGGACCTGAATGGATTGGTACACTGATGATGTGGCAGCAGCACAAGGTTGGTTCAGATCCGAGTCGGCAACGACCAAGACGGAGTCCCCAGGTTTCACCGAGCCCTTGGACTTCAGGAGCTTGATGGTCTGCTTGAAGTTGTCGTCCATGCTGTTCGACAGCGGGAGCTGGAGCGGGATCACACCCCAGTAAAGGTTCATGCTCTTTCTTGTGTTGGAGTCATCGGTGAACGCAAAGATGGGAGGGTTGGGCCGGTTGCGTGACAGGAGCGACGCCATGTGGCCATGCTTTGTGTAGACGAAGATGGCGTCCACGGCAAGGTTGTTTGCTGCATGGAGTATAACACAACAAGTGAATTTCGATGGAACAATAGAGATTGGATATGATGGAGTCTATTTACACAAGAAAACAAGATACCCATTTCCACAGCGCTGGTGCAAATCTGCTCCGAAATCCGGTCGGGCAGAGCGATTGCAAGCTGATATTGCGGAAGAAGACTTTGCATGTTCTCCTCGCGGCTCCATGATTCCATCCGCTCACTAGCAGCACGTAGGACGGATAGAGCTTTCTCGGGAAATGCACCTATAGCAGACTCAGCTGACAGCATTATAGCGTCTGCGTACTGCCGCACTGCTTCAGAAACATCTGCCACCTTAATACAGGCAACGAGAGTTCGTCAAGTGAATGCGAGAATAAAAGGCTAAAGTAATTAGGTCTTGAGAAGCAAAATTTCATAAAAATTAGTTCAGGTTACCTCTGCACGAGTAGGCGTTGGGTATTCAACCATTGATTCCAGAAGCTGAGAAGCAACTATCACAGGCTTGTTCAGGTTTCGACATAATTCAACAATCGCCTCTTGGATGGCTGGGATTTGTTCTAGAGGAACCTGAACTCCAAGATCACCACGCGCAACCATGACTCCATCTGATGCCTCTACAATGTCTTTCAGGTTCTTGAGAGATTCCAGGCTCTCGATCTTTGCAAATATCTTAATGTGTCTGTTATACAAGTAGATTGCATTACAATAGCAGATACCCAACAAAATGAACAGTAATATAACTCTTAAGTCCTAAAGAATATGTATGCCATCTTTTAATGGATTGAACTGTGCCAGTTGCTAAGTTTTGACGTATATCAGTATCACAGGCACAAGTCCTAAAGTGCCATTTTAGTTGGATAAATAACAGACTCCCACTTTATATGCTCTATCGTCAAACAATGGCGTCAATTTCTATTGCTACGCCATTTCACATTTTCCAAGTTAGATATAGCAAATAGCATGCTCTAAACTACAAAAGAATCCTGCACTTATTGGAAGCTGTACAACAGCAGTCAGAGGCTCAGAAGTCAGAATCCTGCTGCTGGTAATTTCTGTGATCGAAGTTCTAACTTGGACAATCCTAGACATTCTAAGCAACTTTTACACTACAGACGCCTCTGTGGAACAAATATGTGTATCACCAACTTATATTTAGGTCCTTTAAGAATTGCAGTTCTGCTCACTCTAATGATCTTCTGGAGAGGTACGTTTTCAGGGACTTAATGTCATTAGCATCCTTTACAAATGAAAGAGCAATACAATCAACTCCCTCAGTTATGCCAAATTCAATGTCAGCCCAATCCTACAATACAATATAGGCAGTTAGCAAGCAAGAAGATACTAGTTTCAGT